TTTTTTAGTGTTTTAGTGAAAAATATAATGATTTTCTGTGTGAGCAGCTGTTCAAAGTTGTGTTTGCTATTCATGTATTGGCTGCATTTTTGAGTTCTGCTCAAAATGAGCTTAAATTGTCACTATTGAAACAGTCACTACTAAAACTAAATGGAATGTTCAGTCATTTATTTTAATAAAAGAAACATAATTCAGGTACAGGGTGACTTAAAGCAAAAGGATTTTAGTCTAAAGTCTACGATCAGTTCCCAAATGTGTTTTCAGCTTTGTTCTATAGAATCATCCATAAATAGATTATCTGTGTCTGACCTTGACTGTGTGACGCTGATCATGATTTTGAACCATAAACCCGATAAGTAATCTGCGGAATCATCTAATTACGCTAATATGAAACTGATTAATAAAGATCTCAGAGTTTATAGTTTGTTAAAAAAGATTAAATCTAAACAAAAGATTAAACAAAACTAGACCCAACACACGTTCCATGCTCTTAATTAAGGTTCTCTCTTCGAACATCACTGAGCTGTTTTAAAATCATTCATTTGCTATTCTTTAAACAAGACAAAGAATATTAAACAGGACTGGATGCAGCATTCACCCCTGCATCACCCCCAACAGGAACTATGCAGCTTATCTCTGACTATTTTCTCTTCATTAAGTCTGTTAAAATATATTTTATTATTCCACATTTATGCTGACATTAATATTATGAATGCTGTTTAATGGACTGTAATTGGTACAGAATCTCAAACTTGTCTGCAATCTGCAAAGCCATGCTCACATTCTGAGCCATATTTTTGGTCAAAGTGGTGGTTAAGTTGAGTGTATGGGGTTTGTATAGGAGCTGGAAGTTTTCATCCAAACCCAGTGGGACCCAACTGCTTACGGCAGGTTCAGTTGGGTTTGGACAACATTTCCCAAATATTTGTTGGGTTCTTATAACTCCCCTGCCACTTTCAACAGATTCCACGCTGCTTTAGCTCTAGTTCAGTTTATTTTATTCTTCACTGCTTCCACTTCCATTACCTTAGAAAGTTTCAATCTAGAATGCTTGGCTCACCTACACTCTTAAAAAAGCTGGTTCTTTAAGGGTTCCTTAGTAAAGACATTTTCGATAAAGAACCATTTGCATGATTAAATGTTTCTTTGCACGGTGAAATCGTTATTCAGATTAATGGAGAACATATATTTATTTTGAAAAGGGTTGAAAAGGGTTCTGTACAGCACTGAAAGGGGTTCCTCTAATATTACAAGCTTGGCATTGCAACAACAGCAGAACCCTTTTTGGTGCTATACAGAACCATATACAACATGTTCTCCAACCACTTCACCATTTCATCATGTAAAGAACCAGTTCTATGAGTGTTCATGGTTCTATCGAGCTCTGACGTGTACGAGGCTCAAGCTCAAGAGATAATGGAACATTTAAAAAGACTGGTGTGCACCCGTTCTTATAACCCCCCTGGCCCCAATGACAGTCGCAAGAACCTGCAGGAAGGCGGGGGCTGAACTCCGAGCCCAGACAAAACCCTGCGAAGACAGCAGGGAGAGGATGAAATCCATGAAGGAGTGGGGGGCGGCGTGCAAGTCTCAAGCCCCGCCTCCTGGGCACTGCCTCCGGTCCTGCGGCTGTCATCAGGGCCCAGGGGACGGGTGCATGCTACTAAGACGTTTAATTTGTTTGGCCAAAATTATTTTCATGCTATACGTTCAATATGTTCAATGTTGCAAAATAGTTTTAGGGCTAAACAGGTGAAGGGTAACACCTCACCACAAAGAGTGAGAACATGGAAAGTTTCTTCAGGCTAAAAACATTTGGGGTATTGTTTAAAAGTATTACAGATGAATAAACATGTTAAAACATAATGTAACCTTAATTTTGGACAGCAAATTAGTTTTTAACGTTAGATTACATTTACAGCATTTAGCAGACACTCTTATCTAGAGCGACTTAGAATTTGATCATTTTTACACAGGTAGGTGAAGGTAGTGTTAGGAGTCTTGCCCAAGGACTCTTATTGGTATAGTGTAGGGTGCTGCCCAGGCGGGGATTGAACTCCAGTCTACAGCATAGAAGGCAGGTAGTTACCCACTACACCATACCAACCACACCGATAACTGTATTATTGTAGTCATGAGCTCATGATCGCTGTCATTGTTGCTGCATAGCCATTCAGCCAGCCCTGCCATCAGAAATGGGAGGTTCATTCAGCACTTTGGATGATGATGTGATGGTTCGAGTCTGTTTGGGACAGTACTCTTTTGAACTTTTCCACAAAATTCCATAAAATTTGACGATGTGGTTCGGGTCATGTTCAGACAGAATTCTGTCAGGCTTGATTCAGATTTACACTCAGAACCTGGCGTTGTGGGTGAGGTCAGGTTGTCTGGAAAACTCTCTAGCTGTATTTGGGTTCGAACCAGATTTCAGGCCTGCCTGAAGCTCCTGGGTGAATATTCCTGGTAGTATCTGATTTGGTGAAAAGCCACTCCATCGATCTCAGTGTGTAGTGATCAATAAGGACACTCTGTTCGGAGAGCGAGGACGTACAGATGAGGAGTTTTCCTCTTGCCTCAGTGCACTGAGATTTAATATACTTCAGATAAACATGGAAATAAAAGTCATCCATTACTGCCCGTGTCTGATTAGCAGGGCTGATATAAACTGATGTTATTGACCATAGTGTTAAACATCAGTCTGATCACACAGATGCAGCCTTCACAGACATACATCAATCAGACGAGACAGGAGGAGGAGAGCTAGAGAGCAATCTGAGGAAACCTGGGTGAGAACCATGTGTTGAGAGAGAAAGAGAGAGAGAGAGAGAGAGAGAGAGAGAGAGAGAGAAGGAGGTGTGATATATCAGAGACAGCGAGGTGTGTGAAGCAGTGAAGACATATGAGAAGACATTTGAGCCTGTATCTCTCCCTCCCTCTCTCTCTCTTTCTCTCTCTCTCTCTCAAAAATATAAAAACAGAAAAAGATTTAAGCCTGAACAACAACATGACCACACAATGGCCTAATAAGTATATGTATATGTAAACCGATTCGACACTTCATTAAGTCCACCTCTTTGTTTCTACACTCACTGTCCATTTTATCAGCTGACCATATAGTTTCACTCTGTAGTTCTACAGTTACAGACTATAGTCCATCTGTTCCTCTGATACTTTGTTACCCTGTTCTTCAGTGGTCAGGACCCCCATGGACCCCCACAGAGCAGGTATTATTTGGGTGGTGGGTCATTCTCAGCACTGCAGTGACAATGATGTGGTTTTGGTGAGTTAGTGGGTGTTGTGCTGGTATAAGTGGATCAGAGTTTTAATTAAAATTCTTAAAAATTTGTTATACCTAAGACTGTAACAAATGAATATGCAGCATTTGGGGATGAAACTCTTGAATTGTAAGTCCAAATTAAGCAAAACAGTACTAATCCAGCAATATCAGTAACATTAGTAGTGGACATTGCCTTCTGGTTACCACGCTGGACGGTACTTGTGTGAAACCTACATATTAAATCAATGAGCAGCAAACTAACAAAAGCAGCAGCTTGGTGGAGCTCGTTCTCCCCTTGAATTCCTCACGTGTAACAAGAACCCACTCTATATATGATATATATGTTCTACTTAATTGGTTCAGAAATAAAAAAAACAAATATTAACCTAATAACCTTAGATATTTACAAGGATGATGTTCTGATCTGTGAAATCCCAAGGCATTAATAGAGAAAGTAAGCTAAATATATACACAATCATCATTTATAGGGTTCTTTCTATCAGGCGGTGTCTGTCCAAAACCCTAACCTCAATTTTTCAAAGTAAAGCTGAAAGATTTAGTTTTTTATCATGACTTTAATTTTTGAATAAATAAACGTTATTTAAAAAATGCTGTCCCATGTTTTTTTGTCATGACCAAAACATAGTCAGTGACAGCATCTCTTTCCCTAATGGCCACATGGTGAGCAGTTAGATCCCATTATTTTGAAGCAAATTTGTCTTAAAGTCTGAAAGTCAGGGTGGAACATGAAGAATTGTCAGTACCAAAACACAGACATGCTGCAATTGAGTAACATTTTGCCTTTTTATGAAAAATATGATGATTGTGTGTGTGCACAGCTGTTCAAAGCTGTGTTTGCTAGTCACTGCAGAACATGCAGTCACTGCTGCTCTTGCTGGATGTCGGTGATGAAAAATGGAAAATGTGTTCACTTTATTTTGGAAATCACATGTTCAGGCTTTGCATTCACATGATAATAATGTTGTAGAATTATTGAAGGTAATAATGCATTCTGATGAATTTTGTCATATAACTATAATAACATGCAGTGCTTTTAAAATAGAAACAATTCTTTCTTTAAGGTCAAATTTGCTCAAATAAGACAAATGTAATCAATTTTCGTTCATTACTTATATAAGTGCTGTTGGAGCAAAATCTCGTATATAAACTTCATATGTATATTTTTGTCGTTTTTCAGTTTTTGACATAATTTGAAAATGTCTGTTATCCTTTACATTGTGTGTAAATCTTATGAAGAATGGATCAAAAGAAACGGCCCAAAACTACTTCAAAAAAATTCAGGTTCCATTGACTTACACCATAAACAGCACTAACGCACACACACACACACACACACACACACACACACCTGTCAACCCGTCCCTTTAACACCAAGGCCAACTATCCATCATCACAGAAATAGAGAGAGCGAGAGGGAGAGAGACAGACAGGGAGAGGGAGGGAGTGGAGAGAGAGAGAGAGATCTGATTCAGATGAGAAAAGCATGATAGACGGAGAAACAAAGAGAGAGAGATAAGGACGAGTGCAAGACAAATGGACAAAGTCACTTAGACTGACAATGGATAAGAAGAGATGGAAGGATGATTACGGAAGGAAGGAAAGCGAGAGATGGGAAAAGGGAGAGTGCATGGGATAGAGATAAAAAGGGAGGAGGGGAAGAGAAAGAGAAAGAGAGAGAGAAAGACTGACCGAGAGAGATTACCTTGGTTTGGAGGTAGTGAGGGTAGTAGTAGGTGTACTGGTACATTTGCTGCTGTTCCAGTCGTTTTCCCATGAAGCTTCACTGTAAAATCCCACAAATCCTCTGTGTTCTAATAAGAAGGGGGGGAAGGATGGATGGACGGAGGGATGAGAGTCCTTTCTGGAAGAGAAAACGCCTCCTGGATGAACCGCCCGTCTTCAGAGATATTCCCAATAAGGTGGAAAAGAGGAATGAAGGACAAAAAAAGAAGAAGAGAAAAATAAAAAGACAGGATCCAGTTCAGAGAGAAAAGGAGAGAGAGAGAAAGATAGAGGAAAAGAGGAGTGGTGGAAAGAAAAAGAGAAGAGGATGGAGGGAAGAGGAAGAAAAGAGAGAGGAAAGGAGAGAGAGAGAGAGAAGATGAGTGCAGGTGGCTGAGCTGCCACTGCCGGCACAAGAGGGAGAAGAAAGGACGGAGGGATGAGAGGAGGAAGAGAGAGGAGGGGAAAGAAAGGGATGAGAGGAAAGAGAAGGACGAGAGAGGGGAGGAGAGAAGGAGAGAGTGGGAGAGAGAGAGGGAGAGAGAGAAAGGGGAGGAGAAAAATTCACTACTCTGTTAAAGCGCTCAGTGCTGAGGAGAGAAAAGGAGGGAGCGAGAGAGAACAGAGGACGGAGGATGGAAGTGTGCGTGATGTGATCCCCTATTTTTCTTCTCATCCAAGAACGCAATCTCTCTCTCTCTCTCTCTCTCTCTTTCTGACAGGGCGAATCTGGGGGCTCGTCTCAGTGCGACCCTCCTTCAGCCAGCAGTGGGCGGGGCTTCAGACAGGAAAAAAAAGACAGAGAGAAACGAGAGATGCTGATGGTGTATGGAGTCACCCTACTGGTTACTACTGGAACTGCAACAGGAAATAAATAAATAAATAAATAAAAATTAAAATAATTAAACGTATTTGAGCAGGATTGCTGACTGTTTCATACAGGTGACCTGAACATCTCTGATAAAAAGGTTCTTTGAAGGTTATTTAGTAAAAGCAGCAGTTCTACCAGAAACATTCAGGACTGAAGAGAGACAGTTTTAATCGTACACTGTTAGAAATAAAGGTTCTGTTCAGGTAAACGTTTCATTCATCAAGGTACAACAGTGGTTTTAAGGTCTGATTGTGAACCTTAAATAAGTTTTTCCAGGTGAAAAGTTTGTATTTGTACATTTTCATAACCGAATGTTTTAAACAGAACAGTAAAATAAAAGCCTGGAGACGAGACGGGGTGTGTGGAGTCAGTACAGCTTAGAACATATCATTTCAGTGGATTATGGTACAGTTATGTTCCCTGACTAAAGACACTGAGATGGAAAAAAAAATATATGGACATGTATTTCTATATATTTGAAATACAAACCCCTTTCCAAAAAAGTTGGGATGCGGTGCAAAATGTAAATAAAACAAAATTCAATGATATGCAAATGATTTAAACCCTATATTTCATCGAAAATAGTACAAAGACTACAAATCACACACATGTTCAGACGTTTTCAGAGTGTGGAGAGCTGATGATTTGGAGAGCTGCTGTTATCAGACTGATGGAGACACTGTTATAAAGAAGAGACTCCACTGTTAAACACTGCTGCAGTGGAAATGAAGGAGAGAAAGAGAGAGAGACACAGAGAGAGACAGAGACAGAGAGAGATAGAGACAGAGAGAGAGAGAAACAGAAAGACTTTTAACCCCCTTTTATTGAAGCATTAATAATTAAAGAATGTTACATCCTAATAGTTATATTAATAATAATGAGGATCCCCAAAGAAAATCCACCCATCCACAAAGATTCACCAATGAATATCGCACCCAGATCACTGACAGATACAACACTTTCACCAGCGCACCACTTTTCCTCAAAACAGGAAATGTTCTGAGTGCTTTGGTAAAAGACAAATTCAACTCTAATGCGTGACTCCACTAGAGCTCGAAACAGTTTCAAAACATCCATCTCCTGCCCTTCAGACACCGACCTGAAGGACTTCCACACTGATAACTTCGCTTGTCCCACTAAAAAATTAGCCAAGGTACCTTTATAACGCTGAGCTTTGAGAGAATTTTACAGCCAAGATAAACAGAGTCCGGTTGAACCACAAACCCCAGCCCTCTGAGCGCCTGTCCAGGAGCTCGAACAGAGCAACCAGACCTCTGAGCGCCCTGTCCAAGAGCTCGAACAGAGGAACCAGCCCTCTGAGCGCTCTGTCCAGGAGTTTGAACAGAGGAACCAGCCCTCTGAGCGCCCTGCCCAGGAGCTTGAACAGAGGAATCAGTCTTTGACAGTCGGAAAATGCATGAAAAACAGTATCAGGATTATTACAGAAAATGCAGAGTGGTTGAACAGCCGGGTTAAATTTTGACACAAACCCATTTGTGGGTACAGCACAGTGAAGGAGCCTCCACTGAAGGTCTCCTGAAAGCTTGGGCAAGAAACAGAAAGAGTGAGAGACAGAGAGAGAAAGAGACAGAGAGAGACAGAGAGAGAGAGAGACAGAGAGAGAAAGAGAAAGAGAGAGAGAAAGAGAGAGAGAAAGAGAAAGAGAGAGAGAGAGAGAGACAAAGAGATTTTTTTTTTAATTTAAAACCATAACTTTTATTTAACAATTTAAATACCCAAATACAGCAAGTTAGATTAGTGCAACATTCGAGACATTAACAAAACACCATGTACATGATTCAGCTCCAAGGGCCAGCGAGGATCAGCTCCCCTTCCTCTACACTACACAGAATATCACTGTGGCACCATTCCAGCTCAAACACCTCGATATTGTTCATGGCTCTGTAAAAACCAAACTCAAAGAGAAGTCTTGATTTTACAAGAGCCATGAACAACGGTAGAACCTCCTGACCAGACCTGTTCTCCATTCTATTCCTCCTGGAGTTGTAGATCACCAGTTTTGCCTGACCCACTACAAAATTAAGCAGTTGCCACTTCAAATGTTCTTTTCGACTGTAGCCAGCTCCAAAAATAAAAGCGCAAGAGTTAAAAACCTCCCCACACTTCAGAAATAAACAGTTAAGTGTGTTAAACAGGGGTACAAGCCTGGGACATTCTGAAAAACAGTGGAAGATTGTTTCCCTGAGTCCACAAAAAACACACTGATCACTCACATCTTGATTAATTACAGAGACAAAAGCACTGACAGCTAAAATACCATGTAAGATTCTCCATTGGAGATCACCAGAACTTTCTATAAGTGGTGGCTTGTACAGCACCCTCCAGACAGGCTGCTTGTCCATCCCTACACTCAGTTTGGCTCTCCACACTGTGTCAAGCCTGTCACTCAGCACTGCTATATTCAACACTTTAACACAACAGTTATATAAAACCTGACCTGACACAGTGTGGAGATTCAAATTCTGTAGGCCAGAGAGGTCCATCAAAGGGCCCGATACATTGTCCAAGTCTGGTAAGAGTGTAGTCCTTGGGAACAGGTCTCCCCCTGTTAGGCACTGCACTCCCATCTCCAAAGTCCTGCAGTAAAGACAGTTCCTCCACAGAAAGCTTGCCCTTCCACAAGTCAATGAAGGCCTTGGTATAACACAAGGACTTTTGTCCTAACAGAGAGGCAACTGCCTGGACATCACCCAAGCCTGGTCCTGACACGTCTACCAAGTTTCGTAGCGTCACTGTCCCTGAAGCACAGAGCATCCGAGTGAGGCCCGGTACAGCACTGCTGGACACGTCCAGCCGAGCTCCTTTAATTAAGGGCTCTTCCAGCAGCCAGTAAAGTGAGGTGGTTTTTTCCAGTCTATAGGTCTTAAAAAGTCCCCATATTTTAAAAAGTCCATGATAAAAAAGGGGTAATCCACCAAGGCTCAGTTGTTATAGTCCATTAAAAACAGAGCAGTATCCGATCCCAGTCCATCAACTTTGCGTAAGATGGTGCAGGCCACCTCTCTCCACACTATGTCAGCAGGGCCTGTCAGGAGTTTTTGAAGGAACTGCAGACGGAAAGTTGCTAGCCTGCTTGCGAGGTGCACCAGGCCTTGTCCTCCTTCTGCCCTGGGAAGGAAAAGCACACCCTGTGGGACCCAGTGAAGTCTGTCCCAGAAGAAGACCACCAGGATCGCTTGCAGTCAAGACAGTAGACCAACAGGAGGATCCACACACAATAGTTTGTGCCACAGCACCGATGCAACCAGATTGTTTATTACAAGCACCCTCCCCCTAAAAGACATCTGTCCATGGATCCATTTCCACTTTGCTAGCCGGCCTTTCATTTTCTCCACTACACCATCCCAGTTTTTCTGTAGTGCAGTTTCGTCCCCAAGAAATACCCCAAGGTACTTTATACCCCCTATTTTCCAACCCAGGCCAGCAGGTAATGCAGGTAACCCCCCTGTCCACTGCCCCACTGCAAGAACCTCACTCTTAGCCCAGTTCACCCTTGCAGCTGAAATAGCTCCAAAATCCTGGACAATAGAAGCAAGTTCATCAGTGTCTGCCTGCCCCTTTATCATTTCCATAATATCATCAGCATAAGCTGATAGCTGATGATGATTGTGGCCCTCCTGTCCTAACACAACACCCTCAATTTTGGAGCGGAGCTTGTTCAGCAATGGTTCAATGGCAAGGGAGTATAGCATACCGGACAAGGCACAGCCCTGACGTATACCCCGACAAGCCTGAAAAGGAGCACTCAGCCCACCATTAATTTTCAGCACACTTTCAATGTCCTGGCACAGTACTCTTATCATACTAATAAAAGTTGGACCAAATGTCCAACGTCATAAGAGTCTGCCATAAATACTGATGCTTCACTCGATCAAAAGCTTTTTCTTGGTCGATAGAAATGAGACCAAAGTCAAGCCTCAGAGTTCTGGAAACCTCTAAAACATCCCTAAGTAAACAAATATTATCTCTGATGGACCTGCCAGGCACACAGTAGGTCTGGTCGTGATGGATTACCTGCCCCATCACGTCCCTCAGTCTGTTAGCCAAGGCTTTGGAGAAAATTTTGAGGTAAAGCAGCATGGAGCTCCTGCTCACCCAGCGGCCTTTCCGTTCTGCACTAGAGCGTTCAGTGACCCTTGGCAACCCTGCAAAGAAACCAGCAGCCAGTTCCTCATGATCCTTGTATTCACTTCTGTACAGTGCAGCATAGAAGTGTACAGCCCGTTTTCGAATCTCTGTGGGCTCTGTTAGCTCCTGCCCATCCTCAGAGTGCAGAGAGTGAATAAAGTGGCTTTGACCATTTCTCTTTCCAGACTGAAGAAAAACTTGGATGGGGCATCCATCTGTGTCAGACTCTGAAACCGCGAGCGGACCAGAGCCCCCTGTGCCCTGACACCCAAGAGATCATTAAGAGCAGAGGTTTTCGACTTCAGAACTCGAACGTGGCTCTGGTCTCCGGTGGAGTCCACCAGTCCTTGTAACTCTAAAATCTCATGTTCCAGCTCTTTAACGGACTGAGTAATGTGCCTAGAGACATTGAAGGTGTACTGCTGGCAAAGCTGCTTAATTACAACCTTTCCATAATCCCACCATTCTTGCAGGTCATGAAAATGTTGCTTCTACAATCTAAAATTATTCCAAAAAACAGTGAAAACTTGTTTAAAATTCATGTCACACAGCAAGGAGGTGTTAAAATGCCAATAGGCACTTTTGGGTTTAAGATTTGCAATATAAATGGAGCATAAGACCAAACTATGATTAGAAAAACCAACAGGCACAATCACACACCCTTTAAAAACATTAAGCTGGTGTTTGAAGCAATAAAAGCGATCCAGTCTAGCCAAAGACATGAAACTGTCTCTCAC